AAACGTGTAATTCGCGCTTAACAGACCGTGATTAAAAAAATGTCTTCTACACTCGCGTGCATTAAGGCTAGTATATATAAAGCCACCAAGGCCAATGAATAGTATTTTTTTTTGGTGTCACAAGCTTTATAAAAAAAAATATTTGGACAAAAAAGCCCCTCAAACAAAAAAACTTCAAAAGCAATCCAAAATAATGCATCAAATGTGGCAGGAGTATTTTCATCATTTTAACAGTTTTTTTTTAATAGGTATCTCACAATAGGTTAGTAATAATGTGATTCAATCAGTTATTCATTAAATATTATTTTCTTTATTTTTAAACACGTTCAAAACATCTTAAGAGTAGTGCAATGCTGGTTATAAAAAAAGTATTTTGTACGCGAATAATAATGTGATTAAATTATTTGTCAAATTATTGTTTTTTTTTTTTTTAACAAACGATATTATCTACACTAAGGGGGAGGTGGTGGGCTTAGCCACACAATAGCTAGCAATAATGTGATTCAATCAGTTGTTTATTAAATATTATTTTATCTATTCTTAATGTAATTCTATAGAGGCCGATTTATTATGTGGATTCAGCTGATTTAATTGGTTTATGAAGGGTTTCTTCCAACATGATCTAAAATTATTCATTTACTTCAAACATTTGACTTTCCTTTTGTCAATTTACGCATATAAATACATTTAGAACGTGTAAGTCGCGTGTAGCACGCCGTGATTCAAAAAATACATTTTGCACGCGTGTGAGCGTGTGCATAAAGGCTAGTCTATCTTAAAGCCACCTGTCCCCTTCTAACCAAAAATGTTGGCAGCTTCCCTGAAGTGAAATCTTAATTGGGCAGCTCTACTCCACTAAAAACTTAATAATTGTTTAGGTGTAATAACCACAAGTGCTAAATTACTTAACAAAACACATATTACATACCAGACACTAGAGAGAAAACATCTACCACTTTCCAATTGAAGAAAAAAAAAAAAAAAAAATCTAGTCACATTAAGATGGTTTATTACGCATGAAAGGTTTGATTTATTTTTTTTTTATGTTGTTTGCAAATTATTAGGTACGAGTCAAAGTTTATCAAGAAAATTGTTAAAGTGATTGGAGACAAGTTAAGTCGTACACTATTGAGTGTTGAACCAAAATTGATTGGAATCCAATTTCAAGTCGAACGCATCAATTTGTGGTTACAAGATGGATCAAGTGATGTTGGTATACTTCTTGTGTATGGCATGGCTGGAGTAAGGAAGACAACCATTGCAAAACATGTTTACAATTCAAATTTTAAAAGCTTTGAAGGAAGTAGTTTCATTGAAAATATCAAAGAAAGAGCAGATCGACCAAATGGCTTAGTTCAAATACAAATGCAACTTCTTTCTGATATTTTGATCGGTAGAAAAGTGGAAATACAAACTATTAGTGAGGGAATAATTAAGATTGAAAGCGCCATAAGCTCTAGAAAAGTTCTACTTGTCCTTGACGATGTGGACCATATAGACCAATTAGATGCAGTACTAAAAATGAAAGATCGGTTTTATCCCGGAAGTAAGATACTTATAACAACTAGGCGTGAAAGATTGCTAAGAGCACATCAAGTTACAAAGGTGTACAAAGTTGAAACTTTGAATTACAATGAATCACTAGAGCTTTTCAGTTGGCATGCATTTGGCCAGGACCGTCCCATAGAAAATTACATGGAGCATTCAAAAATGGTAGTGCAACATAGCGGCGGACTTCCATTAGCTCTAAAAGTTTTGGGTTCTTCTTTATCAGGGGAAAGTATAGATGTATGGGAAAGTGCATTGGAGAAGCTAAAAGTTATCCCTAATGGTGAAATCATGAATAAACTAAGAATAAGTTATGACAGTTTACAAGATGACCATGACCAAAAATTATTCCTCCACATTGCTTGTTTCCTAATAGGAAGGGACAAAAACTACATTGTTAGAATACTCGATGGATGTGATTTCTATACAATTATTGGCATTCAAAATCTCATTGATAGATGCTTGGTGACAATTGATGGATACAACAACGTGCAAATGCATGACATGATCCGTGACATGGGAAGAGAAATTGTTCGCCACGAATCAGAAGAGTCTAGAAAACGTAGTAGATTATGGCGCCATAAGGATTCTTTCGAAGTATTGAGGGAAAAGAATGTAAGAAACATGCCTTTTATGTCTATATATGTATATCTTCTTGTGAAAATTATCCATAATAATGTTATAACTTTTTTTTTTTCCTCTTCTGTTAGGGTACACAAACAATTCAAGGTCTTGCCCTGGATATGCATATGCATCTTGCAAACAAACCAATAAACACAAGTGAGACCGTCTTGGAAACCAATGCATTTGAAAGGATGCACAATTTACAACTACTCCATCTTAGTCATGTACGACTGGATGGATGTTATGCAGATTTCCCTACAAGATTAAGATGGTTGTGTTGGCTTCAATTTCCATTGGATTCTATACCTGTTGATCTTCCTTTGGAGTGTCTAATTGTTCTTGAAATGCAACATAGTAGCTTAAGACAAGTCTGGAAAGGAACAAAAGTATGTTACCCTATGCATTTTAATTCATTTTCCTTATTTTGTTAGTTTTTTATTTGTTGACTAACTCCATGTGTTAAAATGAACTCCTATGTTTTCTTTAATCCGATGACTAATTTCTTATGTTAGATACTTATTTCATTGTTTTTTTTTTCTTTTTCTTTTTTCCTTTGTTTCCACAGTTTCTTCCATCGTTGAAGATCCTTGACGTCAGCCATTCTCATGGCCTCACTGAAATCATGGACTTCTCACTTTGCCCTAGTCTAGAAGAATTGATTCTTGTTGATTGCAGCAGCCTGATTGATGTTCATGAGTCAATTGGAAACCTGGAGAGACTCGTGTACTTGAATACGAAGGATTGCAAGAATCTTAGGATGCTTCCGAAGAACATGTGCATGCTTAAATCACTTGAAAAACTCATTTTATCTGGCTGCTCAAATCTTGAAGAGTTTCCAATGGAGATGATGAAGAAGATGGTGTCTCTGAAAGTTCTTGAAATAGATGGAATTCCAATAAGTGAATTGTGGCCAGAAAGAAGTTCAACTATCTTGAGTTCTTTTCCATGCTCTTTACTAGAGTTAAGTCTCAAGGGGTGCAATCTTTTTGATGATGCCTTTTGTAGGGATTTAAGTAGTCTATCCTCGTTGCGAAAACTAAACTTAGGTGAGAATCCAATTTGCAGTCTGCCAGGTTTCATCAAAGGTTTGAGGAGGCTCGATAAACTCTCTTTCAAGGGTTGTAATAGACTCAAATCGCTTGTGGGGTTGCCGAAAGTACGCCAAAGGATGAGTATATCCGAATGCATATCATTAAGAAAAATAATACCTCTTTCCCCTGAGCCATGGTCTGCAATGTACAGGGTGGATGACAACTGGAATCTAGTTGAGTGGCAGTACACTTTCAAGTTAGAGCCTATTGATAGAGTTGATGTGGAAATGATTAAACTTTTGGGCTTGTGCAACTTGGAATCCATGCCTGCAATTCGAATGGACAGCGAACTATTCTTACATCCAAGAGTGAGTCCTGTTCAGGTGCGCCTCTCTCTCTCACTCTCTCTTTCTCTCTCTCTCTCTCTCTCAAGTCATGTATATAATGGGAAATAAATGACTTAGTAATGTTGTGATGATCATGGAAAATGCATAGGGACTATATGAATATGGTATATTCAGCACATTTTTTGTTGGGAATGAGGTTCCAGGCCGGTTCAGCTATAAAAGTACCAAGTCCTCCATATCTTTTAGTGTCCCTTCTAGTCACAAAATCCGAGGCTTGAACATCTTTGTTACCTATGCAAACGAGGAGAATTCTAATAATGATGATGAATGGAGAGAGGTTTCAAGCCTAATCAAAGTGAGTAACAAGAGCAAGGGTCTGAAGTGGATCTATTACCCATTCTTCTATGGTATCCCAGGTGACGGAGAAGATATGATATGGTTGAGCCATTGGAAGATGGAGAACGAAACAATATTACAATGTGGAGATCAAGTGGTGGTTTCAGTAATGACTGGACCAAATAAGTTGTTTCGGATAAAGGAGTTTGGTGTCGAGCTTATGCAAGAGCACCAGAATAATATGATGATAAGTACCCAACACAACACCAAATCAGATCCTAATTATCCACGTGTCATCGGTGGAGATTTGTCCATGTGGGAGCATATACCAGGAATATACTCCCTTGGTTTCAGAGTCCAAATTGTTGAAGAGAGATGGTTTAATCGCCTCATCATGGACGCTGATGAAGGAGACACAGGTATGTTGTGTTGTTGTATTGCAATGAATTATACTCCATCCAAACGCTTTCAAGTCTGTCTGTATTCAATTAAAAAACATAAAGTTTATGTTATTTGTATGTTTTTTAGACAAAGAAGGGCAAGAGGATGAACCTGATTACACAATTGTAAGGACAAAAGCTGCGGCGGCTGCCAGTAACAACTGCGGCCTCAGAGGCTGGAAGGTGCTCCTCACAGCTGCCGGCTTATTTTTCACGCTTGCTCTAGTAGTTTGGTCATCCATCTCCCAGAAAAAGAAGCGACAGTAGTCCACAAGCCATCCATGAGTTTGTAATTTTATTCGATACAGACATCTTTGGGTTCCTTCCTTGTTTTCAAGATGTTTTCTGCCTTCAAAATATCGAAGTTTCAGATGTGTTCAACATCATCAAATATTGCATAAATATAGCATAAAATACATCCAACATTAGCGACACTTAAGAATTTTTCTTCCCTGCCACTGATTGCATACAATCCTGTACTAGAGAAGATAAACAAATGGTTGTATAAATACATCCAACATTAGCGATACTTAAGAATTTTTCTTCCCTGCCACTGATTGCATACAATCCTGTACTAGAGAAGATAAACAAATGGTTGTATACTAGCAGTAAATATTTGAAAAAAATGATTTTAAACATACAAGGGAAGGACGTATCTTTAGCAATACCAGGCAAGAATCAATTCATCGAATTGGGGGAAAATATTTCTGTAAATGTCAAATTTACAGATATTAATTGTCATTTACAACAAAATCATACATCTTAAAGACTCGGCTTCCATTGAAAAATTGTGTAAATTACATAAATATCAGTGCAACAGATATTATATTGAATAATACATCAAATAAATTAACAGCAGACAATTTCTTAGCCTGAGATTCAAGGACTATACAGCTGATTCAGCCTTGCATCGCTACTACACTACGGAAGCTGGTTTCTGCTTCTTCAACCCGAACAAATTATTGAGGTCAGAAAGCATAGGAGAAATGACCATGGTCTGTGGAGCCATGAAATTTACTATCTTATCATAAACATTATACTGGCAAAAGCTTAATGCAATAAGCCTTAAACAATCTAGCCAAGTTTGCTCAACATATGCTCCAAGAAATTCCAAAACAAAATCACAGCAGTTTCACATAGGGAACCGAAGAATCTATTGATACCTTATCTTGCAACTATTAGAAACAATTTTCTTCTTCTTAGCATGCAACCTTTTCAAGGAATAAAATGATGTCTCAGAGGATAATCAAATAGTGAAAAATCAGAATTAATAAACAATAGAAGTTCAGGATCAATTAGGTTGTGATTGTTAGCAGGAATAACTGCTAGCTTGTTCCATTTTTAATGTTACAAAAACATAAAAACTTGAAGAATAGAAGTTCGGGATTGATTAGGTTCCAAGACTACCATAAGCAGAGACAATACAACGTCATTGACTTCCATAGCTGCAGATGCAGATTGTTTGAATGATCTCATGGCTCAGACTTAGTTCCTTAAAGTTGGGACTGGCGTGACCTCAATGAGAACTAAGCACAGACTTCACTACAATTCAGCAGACCCAAAGCTGATGTGAGAAGATTTACGTTAACAATTAAGTCGGTCCAAGCTCAACCTCGATGCTTTGTGTTTTGGGATAAGCTTAGGCAAGGCTGAGCTCAATCCATTCTTCTTGATTAACACTCTTACACTCTTAATGATAACTTAGTACCAGCTTAATCTGACTAATTATAGTAACTGTTGTAGCGGAACTTTTCAAATTTGGGGAACCCTCACAATCATATGAAATCGAGGAAACTTGAAGCATTTCCTTAAAGTTTGATTTGATAAAATTAAACTCTATCTCAGCTAATAGTACAGTTATAAGCTAAACACACATTATGAGAATTTAAACGGTTATTAAAAACTACAAACACAAAATCTAATCCATGATTCCATGTGAACTTGAGAATGCTTTCTGAAGCAAGAATCTGAACTCAATAAACATCGATCAGACAATAATTCACTATATAAATAATTTTTTTCAACTTTAAGGATTGGCATAAAAAGAAGCTTTAAACAAGGAGCAATAATTTGATGTTGAAAAACAAAACCTATTTCATGGATATTACAAGAGTTATTATTTTGAACAACGTACCCTTTGGTTCTTCACTGCTTGACCTTTAAGAAGATCTTTCTTTAAAAATAAAAGGATTGTGAAGAGAAGTCTCTTACTGCTCCTGATGACGAAGGTTCATGTATTTTTTCTCGAGTTCTTCCATCTCGGCATCTTTATTATCATTTTGCCCATCGCCATTTTCCTCTTCCCCAACTTCTTCTCCATCTTCTTCCTCATTTTCTGATTCTTCTTCCTTCTCCTCGCCGTCGTGCTCATCATCAAAGTCATCCTCTTCCTGCTCCATCTACATCACAAATCATCAATTAACAACAAAATCACCACAACAAACTGAATAATTACCGAAACCCAATAACAGAATTTACAAATCAAACTAACATTCAACTCATTGCTGTTGAAATCGCCATTGTCCCCGAACTCACTGTCACTGTCAAGAGCCTTCATCGCCATTCATCTCCATTGCTTTGATACAACTTCATTTCAAATATCCAAACCAATTTACGAATCCCAAACCTTTTGAAGCTGCAAGGAGAAAAAAGACGACAAGAGTTGAGAGTCACAAAGGAGGCCGAGAAGAAGCTGCAGAGTTTGGGTTTTGGGGCCGTTTCTTAAACCCAAACCTGTCTTCTAAAACAAGTCCCAAAATCTGTCAATTATTTTCCCCTTCCTAGACCAGAAAACTTTGGTCCTTAAATAAGCTTCATGGGCTTGTTAGGCCAATATTAGATTGAGCCAAGCCCGTCTCATTTAATTAGTACTTTATTGCCCATTCTACGAGAACGACTTATTTACTACAATCTAGTGTTATTTCTTTTTATTTGTAAATGATAGATTTTAAGTTCAACTCATGTAAATAACTAATTCAATACTAAATTATGATGTTTGGCTCATTGTGCGGCTAGCTCGAACTTCATACCTATTAAAGAAATGATAAAGACTTACCTAAAATAGGAGTGACAGATTGTCGGATGTATCCCAAGCCAATTTTATAAAAGTTTCCCTCCAATCTCTCAACTATGGTTAGATGTCTTTTATTTGTGGATTTGGAATACAATTGACCTAGTACGCTTGTTTCATATTAATCTTTCTTGTGTTCAACACACAACATCATAGTTTTCATAAAGTGAGCACCACATATAGGGGTTGTAGACATGCTTGAAATAATTTGAATTAAGCTCAGCTTTTTAGTGAAATGAGTTGAGCTAAAAAAATTGCTAGACTCGCTAAAAAAAATGAGTCAACATAGAGTTTTGGTATTTTCAGCTCATAAAGCTAGTGAACAGCTCATATCTTTGATGAGATAGCTCATATCTTTCACTAGAATTCTTTATATAGGACTGACTGGGCTCCTATTTTAAATTACAGGTCAATCACCAATTTTATGCATTTAAGTGGATCACCCTCAGCTAGTATTATATACTTTTGGACTGTATGGACTGTCTGTTTTCAAGGCATGAAATGAAAAAAAATTTGCCTTTTGGTTTTCGCCTCCTGAATTATCTGAGCAATTGATTACAATAATGTGTGTAGTACATAGTATTCTTAAGCCCGAGGACTAAATTATTAATGTATACAAATTTTGTTATAAGAAAACTTTCTACATGTTTTCTCACTCTTCTTAGTTTATGATTGAATTTTATACTCCTTTCATTCATTAATTTATGAAATGGGTTTTTTTCTTTTGTGATTTCAGTAGTTAGTCTTCAGTGACTGCACAATTTCATGGTTTTTTTACTATCTCAGAAGTAATTGATAGAGTTGGATGTGATTCGGGCAAGTTTGCAGATATCCATTTTGTTTTGATTCGGGCACCTTCTACCAAACTGTACAAAATATTAAAAAATTATTTGATTGTGCTGTTATGTATTTCTTTTTTTATTTTTTATGGCAGTATCATTTTCTCAACAAAATAGAAATTACTTAAATAAATAAACTACTCAAGCAATGAATCTTCAATGAGAACTCCATATTTTCTCAGGTTGGACAAAACCAGCAGGTGTTTCTTCACAAAATTTACATGCCCATCTCTTAGATGGACATAAAGAACATCAATTGTGTGTCACTTACTTTTTTTTGGTTTAACTATAAGTTATGATTTTTGATACCGTAATGAGTTTTTTCGCATAATGCATATGAGGACCTTTGACTCTATTGGTTCTGTGTTTGAAGCCAGAAAAACTCATATGTTGCTTTTGCGGTTTGATTAGTAGTTGTTGATTAGAATTGGTTAATTCTTTTACTAAGAATTTGTTTTTACTCACTCTATTGGTTCTTCTTCATATAAGTATATAGAAATTGCATCATCAGACTAATTACAATTAGTCAGCTTATGGGTGTGTTAACATGTTTAAGTAGTAGTACTTAAAACTCAAAACATGCTGGAGTATTTCTGTCATTAATTTGTATCGAACTCAGTATTTCATAAGAGTTGAACATGAGAGCTTTGTGGAAAGGAATAAAACTAGAGCATACCATTTTATGTATGTTTGATAACATTGCTTATAATTATAATAATTACGTTTTATTCACATTGTAGCTCTCATGGAGTCCCCTGCTCAAACATGTGTCAAGCCGAATAACAATGGACTGCAGATATCAAACAATGCGGCACACAAAATTAAGCAGGAGATTTAGGATGGTCAGTTTGCGGATACACCCCATTTAATTTTCAAATTAATATAGTAATTGTTTGTGAATGAATTCAATTAGAACTCACATTTCTGATTTTTTTTTAATTCATTGGATTATTAAACCGTGTCATTATAACATAATTTCAGCTAATGTGACATCAATGTATTTGCCTAATTTTAGGAATGGGAAGTAATTCTGGTGAACGAAGCTCTGGAGTTCAAGGTTGTACTTCTGATTCTCATAGGCTAGATGGATGGAGAAAATCAGCAGGAACTTATTCACTGTCATACAACGTATACTTGAATCAAAATCTATTTTGTAATGCATTGGAAAGTGTTTCTGTTTTATTGGGCGACACCTTAACTTACAGATAATGCAATGGTCCATCTAATCATGTCATGTGTTGTGACTGTTTTTATTTCAATCAGTTTAACTGCCCTCTTTAACCCTTGAATAAGCTATGCTCAGTTGAATGTATATAAAAGTTAAGCTGCCTATCTTATCGACCTCATTTACTTATGTGTCCCTCTGTTCATTTATGACAGTTGGTTCCCGCTGCAACGCGGTGGCTTATTATCTAGTGGTCTTCTAAAACAAGTCCCAAAATCTGTCGATTATTTTCCCCTTCCTAGACCAAAAAACTTTGGGGCCGTAAATAAGCTTCATGGGTAAGTTAGGCCAACATTAGATTGAGCCAAGCCTGTCTCATTTGATTAGTACTTTATTACGCATTTCACGAGAGCGATTTATTTACTACAATCTAATGACATTTCTCTTTATTTGTAAATGATAGATTTTAAGTTCGACTCATGTAAATGACTAACTCAATACTAAATTATGATGTTTGGCTCATTGTGTGGCTAACCCGAACTCCATACCTATTAAAGAAATGATAAAGACTTGCCTAAAATAGGGATGACAGATTATTGGATGTATCCCAAGCCAATTTTATAACAGTTTCCCTCCAATCTCTTAACTATGGCCATATGTCTTTTATTTGTGGATTTGGAATACAATTGACCTAGCATACTTGTTTCATATTAGTCTTTCTTGCATTCAACACAAAACATCATAGTTTTCAAAAAGTGAGCACCACATATAGGGGTTATAGACATGCTCGAAATAATTTGAATTAACCTCAGCTTTTTAGTGAAATGAGTTGAGCTAAAAAAAATGCTAGACTCATTAAAAAAAATGAGTCAATATGGAGTTTTGGTTTTTTAGCTCATAAAGCTAGTGAACAGCTCATATCTTTCATGAGATAGCTCGACTTGTTCGTTAAAGCTTGTCTCATAAATATACTCTCTCTCTCTCTCTCTTACCAATCCAAAATACCCCTCTTTGAAAAAAAATTAAATAATTAGATGAGCTCATGTTGTGAGCTGCCTCATTATCTAAAATGCAAAGAAGAAATTTTTGGAACAGACGATCAATCAAGCGAGCGATAGGTAGGAGTAGAAACAAGCAATGCGTAGCAGCAGAGTACAACGAGAGGAATTGTTGTTCTGGTTGATCAATTGGTATGCCTAACCGATCGATCGGTTTGGCTCTTTTTTGTTTTTTGTTCCGCGTTTTCAAAGCCTATTTAGAGTAGGTTGTGGGCTTTATTGGGATTCCTTTCTTGTAACTAAAGCCATTACATATAATTAGGGCTTTAGGGTTTTATTCTTTGCATGAGAGACATAAGAATTACAAGGGAATCACTTTGTGAGATTGTGAGGGGTCAAAGATACCAAAAACTAGGGGTTGCAAAAGCATAGGCGGGGTTCTTTTAACTAAAAAGGCTTTTCATACTAGTGAGATATCTTGGGTAACACCTGTTGTACTTTTATGGGCAAACGGAAACGAATTTTAACAAAATACCAATATCAACGTCGTAGGTGAAAACTAAAACAAACAATCTCAAACTAACACAAGAGATTTGTGTGGTTTGGTGTAAAGCCTACATCCACGAGCGAAGCACGACGAGGAATTTCACTAAACAAACGAAGATTACAAAAGAGTGTTTAAACTCTCACAACCCAAATCCCACAAATTCCAAACCTTAAACCAAACGAGTAGAGAACCCAAACCAACGGAGAAGATTCTCCTAAATTGTTCTCTAACTCACAAACTCACAAATTGACTCTCACCAAATTGCCACACGAATGAGCCACACGTTTGCCACGCACTCATTTAGAGAATGAAATGTCGGTCATGTGATGATTATCAACATTTAGAGATGGATGGTTTAATTTAAATTTATCTATTATACGTGGTGATTATTGAGGATTAGACTTAGTTAACCTCGCTATATTTGATTAATTTAGTAGCTTTTCATTTACTTGGGACAAACAAAATAAACAAACAACAAACAAATCCCATGAAAAACAAAGACAAAACCAAATTATACATGGATCATAAAGGATGGACCACACCTTCCTCCTATTAGTGGAAGGGTAATGTTAAGGAAAGTTGATGATTAGATTATTACTTAAACGTTGATAAACGTCCTCATTTCTATTGGTGACACATCATTTAATTTACAAATTTAATCTCCTTCGAATTATTCAACTAGCAATTGGACAGTTATATGACACTGCACCAAAACCGTACATATAACAATCGCTCTAATGACTATAATCTGTCATCTTGGATAAGAAACGAAATAAGAAGAAACATACAAATGTTTCGCACACGGTGATATTTATATTCCCAAAATCCCATCCACTAATCATATAAATTGGATTCCTTCAGAAATATAAGATACTCAACCGCCATATTTGATTCAAACAAATCTCTCATAAGGCCTGACCACTGTTTTTTCCTACCCTAACAAAGCACAAGTCTAGGTAAATTGCCTATATAATCCACACCATCTAAAATGATAAAGATACAGAATGCACGCAAAGAAAGAGCCAGAACTATGTAACCAGTCAAATTCAAGTTCATTTCTATAACTCAAGATACTTACTTTTGTTCTCCGTTCGGGAAAATTCTCGACCGGTTTAACTGAAAACCCTCTAGTATACTCATGTGTACTCTATATTTGGTTAAAGAGCTTCCAATAGTTTTAAGCACATTGAATCATGCAGCTACTACCAACCGTTAACGAGATCCGTGCTATATACAGAAAACAAAGATATACAAAACCACCTTCTAGCAAAACACAGTTCATTATCTACATAAATTTCAAATTTCAATTCAATAGATTACGTAAAATACTCGAAACCAAAATCAGATAGCATTCATAAGGTATAACTACTTACTTCATGAGAATGTCATAGTACTCAGGATCCAAAGAAGAAAACATTGCATCCACATCTTTTATAGCCATGTCATAGTGCTCTACGCACCATTATCCAATTTGCAGACTGCAAAACTCAAATTTGAAGCTCACTTCAGTTTAGATATCCCAACAAAACCCTAATAATCGAATCAAACCCCAACCACATCCAAGCAGAGCAGAAAAACTACCAAATTATACTCGGCTACTAGAAATTTCCTTAGACTTTAAGGCTTAATACATGTTAATAAAAAATTTCCTAAGTGCATATTTTATCGGCAACAGATCATGGTGGGAAAAAAATCAGCACATACCCTCAGAAAGTTATAATAGCTGAAGGAGAGGCCAGCGGAGAAATCTGGGGAGAGGCTCTTCTCCTTTATAAAAGGAGGTGCTTGGTACATAAGCCACAGGACGCTGATAAACGCTTTTTATTAGGGTTTAATTTTTTTTATCTCCAACAACGCTTTTTATTTTATCAAACTTTAAATATTTTATTACTAACAATTCAAACTCAACCAATTCATTTTCTAAAAGAGTCTTAATTATCTTCATTTTCTTTTTGCTCAAGGTTTCACGAGTTTTATTATTTTGTTAATATTTAGCTGATAAACAGTTGCTCTGTAAATTATGGGAGTTTTAACGAAACATTTCCGGTAATATTCACTTTTAACGAAAAACCACATTTTTATTTTTCTCTGATACTATTCACTACACATTTATTTGTCATTCTTCATTAAAACTAAAGTCTTTTTAGATTTTTCGTTAGTTTTCCTGTAAATTTAAAGAGTGACTGTTCATTTTGCTGTAATAGAAGCTCTTTTATAGAGTTTGTTGGAGATGTGTTTTTTTTTTTTTTAATTTGACTATTTAAAATAGAATTTTATTATTTTACTGCATCTCCTGAAAAATGCTCTTAGTAACTTAAAGTGAATTTGGTTTAAGTAGCTTGGTCTTTTTTAGAGGGGTGTTTTAATATAGAATCAATCAACTATAAGAAATGTTGGAAAAAAAAAACCTACTTATCCATGTCACCAACTCAAAGAATTTAAATTTTTATTTCTTTTTTTCTATTTTGCCCTTATTTACAAAATTAATTTCCTAATTTTATGCATTCTTTTAAAATAAAATCCATCATCTAATTTAACAAAATCTATTGTTTGGAAAAAAAAAATTATATAAATATACAAATAAAAATATCCATAAAAAATTAAAAATACTTTATCAATACATTTATAAACAGTAAAAATATCCCTAAAATAGTCAATAAAATTATAAAACACATATGCTTTGATCAATGTTGTTACGCTCATGTCTAAAAGAAACAACCAATGAAACTAAATAACAATTCAATATTAAACGATTTTGGTTCATATATACATGCTAAAATTCCAATTTCACTATGCAGCGATTTGCTTTTGTCTATTGATTTTTTATTTATTTATTCAATCGTATAACTCAAAATAATAGGATGAGTATTAAAGGAAAAACAGAATGTGAAAAATGGCTTATCTTTAAAAAAAAAATAATAATAATAAATAAATAAATAAATAATAATAATAATAAACCTTAAAATTTCATGTAGTTTGCATTGCTATTTGCCTTAGGTGCACCAAATTTGCTTTTGTTTCAATCATGACGCTGTCGTTTACAATTTGGTTGTGTATTGGAGATGATTTGACTTACATCTCATTATTCTTGGTTGAGTAATAATTTTCTTAGTTGGCATGAGGCTTCACTTTCAACTCAAATCTCATACTGAAACTCAAATTGGGTATGCATTCCTGCTTTTCAATCAATCACCCCATTGTTTTTTTTTTTTTTTTTTTTTTCCTCCCAAGTCACGGGGACAAACACATAAAATTCCAGCCACTTACAATTATAGTTTTAAAAAATTCTCTCTTTTATATATCTAGATAATGGGTAAATTACACTTTCATACCTTAGGTTTGGGGTCTATTTCAATTCCTTGCAACATCTTCAAAACATTTTACTTTCATACCTTAAGTACCATTTTATTTCAAAATAATATCTCCGTTACATTTGCTATCCATTGATCTGTTAAATGCTGACGTGGCTGCCACATATATGCCACGTGGCTGCCAAATGTCTGCCACATGGCAAATAAAATAATTTTTTAATTTTTTTTAAAAAACTTGAATTTTCTCAAAAAAAAAAAAAAAATTGAAACCCATGCCCCGCCCCCCCCCCCCCGCGTCGTGCGACCTCCCCACCCTGCGACACACCTCCCTCCCCCCCTAGTGACGCCGCGCTACCTTCCCCGCCTCCCTCAGGTCAGGATCTCGTGATTTTTCAGTATGGGTGAGTTTTGAAAATACCTTGAGTTTGAGATGATTTTTGGACTAGTTTTCTGGTAGATCCATCTAATCTCGGGTGGAATTTTTGTGGGTGATGGGGGATTTTTGGGAGGGGTGATGGGGGATGGGAAAAAGGGTTGGCTCGGGGTGGGACGAACTGGGACTTTTTTTTTTCTTTTTCCCCTCTTCTTCTTCTTCTTGCAGGTTTTTGGGTTCTGGGTTAGGGTCGCTGGGTAGGGGGGCGGGGGAAGGCACTGGTTTCATTTTTTTTTTCTTTTTTTGAGAAAATTCAGGTTTTTTAAAAAAAATTAAAAAAATATTTTATTTGCCAAGTGGCAAGCATTAGGCAGTCACGTGATATATATGTGGCAGCCACGTCAGTATTTAACAGATCAATGGATGAAAAATGTAACGGTGGTATTATTTTGAAATAAAATAGTACTTAAGGTATGAAAGTGAAATGTTTTAAAGATGTTATAAGGAATTGAAATAGACTCCAAACCTGATGTATGAAAGTGTAATTTACCCCTTTTTTTTTCAATTTTTTGAGAAAATTCAGGTTTTTAAAAACAAATTAAAAAATTATTTTTATTTGCCACGTGGCAGACATTTGGCAACCACGTGGCATATATGTGGCAGCCATGTTAGCATTTAACAGATCAATGGATGGAAAATGTAACGGATGTATTATTTTGAAATAAAATAGTACTTAAGGTATGAAAGTGAAATGTTTTGAAGATGTTGTAAGGAATTGAAATAGACCCCAAACCTAAGGTATGAAAGTGTAATTTGCACCAAGATAATTGATGTTTGCCTTTTTTTTTTTTTTTAGTTTTAGTTTTGGTTTAATTTGTCATTTTTGTGGTGATTGAGAATCCAGAGCTTCTGAGGTTTGATTATTGTCTATTTTAAACTTATCCTTGGGTAAGCACTTTTGATGAAATTATGTTTTTACTCCGCTTTTCTGTATTTTTGGGCAATTGAAGTTGAATATGGAGAAGGTTTTGACATATTTAGACCTGTTGGACTCTCAAGTTTGATGTGGTAATTGATTTATTGAGTTAAATGTTTATTAGTCAAATTGTGTTTTATGTTATGTTGGATATAATTTACTGATTATACTTTATGCTGCCATGACTTACTACTGTTAATTTTTACTTCGAGTAGGATTTTTTGTACGATAAAGTAAAAGAAGGTTTTCTTAAACGAAAAACAATAAGCCATGAAAACTAATGATTTAATTGCGTAATATTGAGTTTTTTTCGATGAGGGATTTCGAGTTTTCCACCAAGTCTCTATCTTATTTTTAGTTGTTGAGTTGTAGGTAATACTTTATGGTCAATGTGATCCTATATCTATTTAATTAATTGTATTCTTAGATCATGTAGGAAGACTAACAAGTAGCAATGTTGCTGCTTAACATGTCAAAATGCTATTAAAAAAAAAAAAGCAAAAGCAAAAGTGACTTGTGGTAATCTATTTGAACTTGAGAATGCTTTCTAAAGCAAGAATCTGAACTCAAGAGATTTAAACAAGGTGTAGCATAAGAAATTAAGAATAAACATCGATTAGACAATAATTCACTATATAAATCTTTCTTTTAATCTGGAATTGAAGAGTTGCATATGCATATATAACTCCATTTTGTGCTTTCATAATACCTTAAATAAATACTGAATAGTAGCCTCGAGATAAGATGAAAATGGCACTAGTATTCAATTTCTATATTTACACTCGCGGACTATTACATTATTCAATGACTTTTGTAACCTAATATCAAATTTTGGTCACCAACCTCCAACGGCTATGCATATTATCTCCTATATTCACTTTATTTAGTTATATGTTCCAATTAGGCATCAAGAGTTTATAATTAAAAATAAAGGGACTGTGAATAGAAGTCTCTTACTGCTCCTGATGACGAACATTCATGCAGTCTTTCTCGAGTTTTGCCATCTCGGCATCTTTATTATCTTTTTTCCCATCACCATTTTCCTCTTCCCCCTCTTCTTCTCCATCCTCATTTCTGATTCTTCTTCCTCCCCCTCGCCGTCATCAAAGTCACCCTCTTCCTCCATCCACATTGCAAATCATCAATTAACAACAAAATCACCAAAAGAAAACCGAATAATTACCGAAACCCAATAACAGAATTTACAAATCAAACATTCAGCTCATCGCTGTCGAAATAGCCATCGTCTCGAGCTCACTGTCATTGTCACGGGCCTTCCTCTCCATTGTGACGTCTAAGCCCTACAAATTCAAACACCTAAATTTACAAATCAAACATTCAGCCGAAAAACATTTGGGCCTTAAATGGGCTTCATGGGCCAGTTAGAGGTATATTTGATTGAGCCACAATAGTCTCATTTGATTAGCACTTCATTGCACATTTAACGAGAGCAACTTATTTACCACTATATTCTAGTGATATTTTTTCTCATTTAGAAGAGATAGGTATTACGTTCGATTCATGTAAATGGCTAATTCAATACTAAAAATTATGATGTTTGGCTAATTGTGCGGCTAGCCCAAACCCCACACTTCTTAAATAAGTGATAAAAACTTACTTAAAATAGGGGTAACAGATTGCCTGATGTATCCCACGTCAATTTTATAACAATTTCCTTCCAATCTCTCCCGAACTCCTTCAATCCTTCAACCATGGCTAGATGTCTTTTGTTTGTGGATTTGGAATGCAATTGACCTAGCACGCTTGTTTTATGTTAGTCTTTCTTGCATTCAACATAGAACACCATAGTATTCATAAGGTGAGCACCATATGTAGGGATTGTGAATATGCTCGAAATAATTCGAATTAAGCTCTGTTTTTAAGTGAAATGAGTTGAGCTTAAAAGAAATACTAGACCAGTTTTAAAAAAATGAGTCGATATGGAGCTTTGGTATGTTCAACTCATAAAGCTAGTGAACAACTCATATCTTTTATGAGATAGCTCGACTTGTTCGTTAAAACTTGGCTCATAAGTGTACTTTATCTCTATTACCAATCCAGAAATACTTGTCTTTGGAAAAGATTCAAATAATTAGATAAGCTCATGTTGTGAGTTGCCTCACCATCTAAAGTATGAAGAAGTTTTTCGAACGAGCGAGCAATCAAGCGAGCGATCGGTAGGAGCAAAAACAAGCAACTCGTAGCAACAACACAACAAGAGGAATTGTTAATTCAAGGCGATAGATTGGTTTGGCCAACTGATCGATTGTTAATTCAACTGATCGATTGGTTTTGACCTACCTTTGTTGCCTGTTTTCTCTTCCTTTGTCTTTACCCACCCCTTCTCCTTGCCTTTGGCATAAAGGCCTTGAGAGCTTTCAGTTATATCATCTAGTTTAGCATATGACTGAAGAGCTTGAATTACATCTTCAAGCTTCAGGGACTCTTTTCCAAACATTAGAATTGTTCGAAAGTGCTTGAAAGACGAAGGTAGAGACCTCAACAAGATGATAGCCATATCATCATCTTTGTAAGTTTCTTCGAAAGTGCTTGAATCACCTCCTTCTTCTAGTCGAAGCTCGAATAGTTCATCCTTTAGAAAAAAGTTTATTGGACACGGTTTTTCCCATATAAACACTCTCCAACTTTTCCCATGCTTCCTGGGCAAACATCTTTTCGATGATGTGTGACCAAACTGATCATGTGAGATGGATCTCGATGGAACTCTTGGCCTTCTTTAGAACCTTATTCGAAAAAAGATGTTGCCTTTGAAATTAATGGGTGATTGTGGGTTTCCTGGGTTGACTCAAAATCATACGTTATCTAATGGGTTGCTAATTAATGAGTTCACCCATTATTAACTCAAACCATTCAGTCTTCACCCGTCAAGGGCGGTCGTGAGATTTTTTAGGCCCGGGATGACGCCTAAAAAATGTGCCCTAACTTCATATAAGAAAATTGTTTGTTTTCACACGTAACACTTCAATAAAATTATACTTAGAAAACCATTTCAAACTCAATAATTTAGAAACACAGAAAAACTAATTTTATTTTATTAAGAGAATGGAACAAAAAAACCTGGGATTACAAGTAGATGGATGATGAGTAAAAATTGAAAAGAATAAACATGCACATAGTGACACACCCCGACCGAGATAGGAGCGTGCTGGCCGTCACACAAAGGTGACGTAGCCATGTGCACGTGCGGAAGCTAAAAGAGTAGTAATATAAAAGTACGAATAATTAAAAAAAAAACTAGCATACTAGTACTAGAATAAGTGCTAGTTAGTGCGATACAAATTCAGAGCAGGTCTATAGCAGTCCAAATAAAACAACAACAGTAGTACGCCCGAAGGCGACCCTACAATGTGGAGTGTCTGTCAGAACGCCGAAAAGCTCACAAGGGAAACCACCGCAACGGCTAAGCAACTAGAACCTGGAGGGGCGCAAAACAAAAGTGTGAGTGGGCAAAAACAAAGCTCTTTGAAAACCATTTAGTAAAACACAATCTAACCCCTCGCCGTAAAACCTGTATACTTCCCAGAAAATAACATATGTACGTATGTATAGATATGCTCAAACATGCTCAAGGGTATGCCAATCATGCTCAATATATGCTATGTCAAAATCTCCTAATGATATGCAAGTGCTCAGGTGTGAGTCGTATCAATCACACAATCCTCTGGCAGCCGGAGTCACCTAACGCGACCTGTACGGCTGTATATAGAGCTCAAATGTCAATCTCAATAACTAAACCTGCCCACGAGTCGGAACCACCTAAAGGGGTCTGTACGACAGGCCTGGGTGTAACATGTATACGCTCTAGTGCTACGATCACGTGAAGGCTGTGCGAATAATCGCGGGTCACCTACGAGTCGGAACCACCTACTGTGGTCTGTACGACGGGCCTATGCACCTAACTTGGATCCAAGCTGAGCGTATGGTGCGGGAGGTGAACAACACGTGAAGGACTGGGCCCTACTCTGGGCGGGAGCACTAACACCGGGGGTACAGGTTATGAGCTCTCCAAGCATCTCTAAACACTAAGTAATGCAATCGTTAATTAACGCTTACCTGGCACTTACCTATGCCTCCACAGCACCCACACATAAATATATATGACATATGCATATGTATATGTATGCTACAAATAATGCATGCAACGATGCATAAACAATAAATAATAAAGTACAAGGCATAAGGCAATTAACCCTTTTTAAATCAATTTCTGGGAATATAAATGTATATAGGTATATACGGAAAACAAAAGCCCACTCACTGGTATGTAGAAGGGTCGTAGCCCCCCTGTCTCGCATGTGCACGCTCGTCCTCTGGGTACGTGTCACCTAGATGCGAAACAACTATAAAAACGTTAACTTTAAAGCACATAACCCGTTTCTCGTAATAACTTCTCATACATTGCTCAAAATGGACAAATGAATATACCTACGTGCTCTACACAACCTCAGGGTCACAACCAAAATTTTAGAAAAATTTTTGGACCCCGCACGCGCCCCCACGCGCCAGCACAGGCACGGACCCACGCGCCCCCACGCGCGGTCACGTGCCAAGCACACTGACGGTGTCAACAGACGCCGTCAGGAATATTCCGTCAAACTGACGGAATATTCCGTTAAGTCTAACTGGTTCCGTTAACGGCGTTAGGAATATTCCGTCAGAATTGACGGAATATTCCGTCGCCTTCATCCTTCGATCGCCGGCAACGTCGCCGGCGCCGGAAACTGGGAAAACCTGCAACTCAGGTTTTCTCACTCATTTTTCATCCGTTTTTCGTGATTCTTGGACCAAATGAAAGCCCTAGACTAGTAGAACATGTCCCAACAAGTTTTAAGGGCTAAAACTAAGAGATTATACCTATCCAAAAACTCCAAGCTCGGCTAACCTCGAACCAGGCCTTCCCGACGTCCAAATTCGTCCAACGAGCTACTCCGACGCTCCTGGGAACCTCACCAACACCTCTACAAGCTTCAAAAGTCCAAAAACTCAATGTATAAAACTTGCATGAACAGTACTCAATTCGGCCATTGTTGAATCGACGTGAAAACGAAGTATTCCTCACCTGAAAATGGTATGGTTGAGCTCGCCTTGACCTTACGAGTTGAATAGTGTCTTTGGTTTCCTCGATCTACTAAGATTTGGGTGCCTTTGTGTGTTGTCCGTACGTTACAGAGAGAAGAGGAAGGAATGGAGCTCGGGGAACCCACAGAAAGAGAGAGAAACAGAGAGAGACAGTGTGTGTGTGTGTGTCAGCTTGACAACACCACACAAAGTAACCAAAAACAATAATACGAAAACCAATTAGGGGTAAAAGGGTCATTTCCTAAACACGTTACCGATAATTTCGGGACGGGATGTCACACATAGCATTTCGAACTCTGGACCTTTCGTTAATTTTTAGAAACACATAAAAACTAATTTTATTTTATTAAGAGAAGGGAACAAAAAAACTTGGGATTACAAGTAGATAGATGATGAGTAAAAATTGAAAAGAACAAACATGCACATAGCATTTTGAACTCTGGACCTTTCGTTAATTTTAAAAAACAAAAACCATTGCTTTTGATTAAACCACTTGACCATTTAGCCAAATTTTATAAATTTAAACTCTTATGAAAAGAATTTGTAAAAGATAGAAATTAAAAAACACACGTAGTGTTTCGAACCCAAGACCTCCTTGTTAATTTTAAACAAAATAAACCACCGCTTATAGACAAACATTTTAATTATTTAGCCAAATTTTATAAATTTATACTTTTATGAAAAGAAATTTATAAAAATTGGAAAGTAAATAAACACAAATGAAGTTTCGAACCCAAGGTCTCCTCATTAATTTCAAATAACAAAACCCACTAGTTCTACTTAAATTTCTTTGTCATTTAGCCAAATTTAAAAAATCTATACTCTTATAAAAACATATATAAATATACCACTCCAATAATTTTTGTGCTCCAATTTTTTTGAGCCCTAGACAATTACCCAGCTCACATTGGGCCTAGACCGGCCATGTTACCCATTAGTTGAAGATTTATGAATGAATTGAATCGTGTTAACAGATTGAGTTCATCTTGCCAGCTCTACCTAATCAACACTCAAAACACCTTGAAGAGAACACACATGAAACAAGAGCCATAAAAATCAGATGGTGCGGGTACTGATGTTGATTTGGCTGTGTGTGTGTATATAGTATCAGTACTAGTTTTGGCGAAGCTACTGAACTGGCTAGGTTAGGGTATTTAGGCCCAGAGCTTGTCCACAAATCCTAAATTTTGCTTTAATGGGG